GGGAAGTCGAGACAGGTTGGATAACAGCTGAGGTTGGTCCTCAGCTGCAATTCAGAAAGGATAAGCAGTTCCAAAGTTGCACAGCCCGGTGCAGGCCTAGAAGTCATAATAAACTAAGGTACACTGCAGGATGCAGGATATGTTGCAGACAGATGCAGGACTAGAAGCCGGGGCTTGGAGTCTGCAGTCTGACAGAGATGGTCAGGAGACGAAGTGCCAATTACTCTGGCTTGCTCAGGATGTGCCATAGGCTTGCTGAAATCTCTGCTGTACTCACAAATAAGCATGATTATCATATGATAGTTTGGGAAAGGCTACATGGAGAGGCCACATATCTGCAGCCAGCCCACTTGAATACAGAGTCGTTATAATTTCCACTCTAAATGTTTTCTTAGCCTATACATATGAGATGCTGAGTTGCCAGTGCCATGGAGAGCTAAGTACTCCAGATTCTTGCCGTACAGAGCTACATTCTTAGCACTCAGGAACTTAGGACTGAACTAAGCTATGGCCAGCTTAACTGAAGAGCCTGCCTCCCACTCCCGAGGAGCACGGGCCTTTGGGGGAAAGGCAGAGGCTGTTACAGGTCGGCGGCAGCGCATGCTAACAGAGCTCATGGCCGAGGCAGGAGCCGGAGAAAGCCGAGGACTCAGGCTCTTCGTTTCCTAGTACAAGGCACACCCAGAGTCCACCTCTTCTATCGACATGAGGGTCATCCACTCAATTTTATAAATAACTGCTAACGTACTTAGGGCAATTTCATGTCTCTTCCCACGGTGTGCTTTTCTACAGTTCTATGAATAAACAACCAGGCTCTAGAAAAGGGCAGTTTTATTTTCCTGTCTTATTGGTACACTAATTTTGTACTTTCTCATTTATTCAAATAACACTAGAGGATAAAAGGTCATCAAGTACTTTCTAATTGATGGAGGAATAAATGTGACTGTGCACCGGCGGCACCGTGTGAGCCGGATGGCTGTGCCCACCTCTTAGCACAAGGGTGTGGGAGGGCGGGCAGGGCACACAGCGGGCACAGGGGTCTAACAGAGTGTGGGCCACCGGGACCCTGGGGCTGTGCGCGCCCAGGCGGGTTTGAGCGCCCGTCCCGGGAGCTCCTGAGCTTGCTCACAGCCAAGTGTCTCAGGCAACGCCGGTGCCACGTGGAGCATCGACCATCAGAGCTGAGAGCGGGAGGGTTATGCCAGCCCTCGGAGAGAGACTGGAACCTGCAGGGAAGTTGCTCAAGCTCCCGATGGCGCTCGCTGAGAGGAGTTTCCTAGTGAACCCTTCAGGGGAGACAACCGCAACAGCTCAGATTTAACTCAGCGAGGTAATTAACCGTTAAGGGAACTATCAGCAAGAGAAGCCCAAGTCCCCCCGCGGGGACTGCCCTCACCCCAGCCCCAGCTATGTCATTCCGCATTAAATATCTGCAGACGGCGTATCCAAGATCAAATGGCATAAAATTTACACGATGGAGTAATAAAGCACAGGGTATCCTTCTGTTGTAAAGAAGGATATATCTGAGTCCTTTGAGGCAAATGGGTGTGGCTTGACACCATAATGTTAGGTGAAATAACTCGGACGCACAAGCTTAAATATCACAAGGTTTCTCTTATGGAGACTCCAAAGTATAAGTGAATTAGAGCAAAATATAAGACAAATAATAGGAAACAGAGAGAGAGAGAGAGAGAGAGAGAGAGAGAGAGAGAGAGAGAGAGAGAGAGAGAGATCTTTCTCAAATGGGAAGGAGACCAAGAGATGAAGGGAGCTGGCAGGGTGGGGAACTTAAAAAAGAATTGTGTGTACCAACTCCTCTGACAATGCAGTCATTACGTACTACACATACTGGTAATATGATAATAAAAATAAAACGTAAGACAAAACAAATGAATCGTGCCTAACATGAAGTTAAAAATAGTATTTCAACATAAATATAAAGTAAAATATGTACTATGATAAATGTATGCAACACAAAAGCATCTCTTTGTTAGTAAGACAATACTAAGAAGCATAGTTTGGTAATTTTCAAACGTTTTAATGAATAGGACCTTAATATTTTGATTAATAATTGCAAGTTCTTTTAGCATTTTGATCTAATTTTGTTTTAAATTTTATGTAGCTGTCCCTATACAAAGTTAACTTTACTGTTGCCCCCAGACATTTTTGTAAATAGGATGAATGTCTCAAAGGTTTTAATTATCTCAGATAAACAGGAATTATTAGTATTTTTAACAGTAGTACTTGAGTTCTAATTATCTCCGCAGTTGGGCTTTGGAGTGTGTGTGTGTGTGTGTGTGTGTGTGTGTGCACACGCACATGCACATGTGTGCATTTCTCTTCAGTCTCATTTATATTCTCTACTTTAAGTGAAGCTCTGGAAATTGTACCTTTATGTAACTGTGTACTGGGATCAGTATTTATTAAAAATAAGATGCAATGATTTAGGAAGGATTTAAGATACCGGAAAATTAATCCAGTATCTTAAGCATGTCATCCTCAGTCTGATTTCCTTTCTCAGAGTCACAGAATACCCATTTCACTGTATGTGCAGTAGCTTTGAAATGATTATAGAACATATCCTATCACAAACTATAGTCATACTGAAGAATAAAACCTACAAATTTCACGTTATTAATTATTTCCTTACTTCACACCATGTTCACATTACCATATACCAAACAGATTTTAAATGACCATAAGGAGCTTGTTACTAATTTTAGGATTACTGAAATTCTATCCATGATTAAAATTTCCTGGAAAATTCAAGATGGTTTTTACAGTATATCATTTCAGATAAGTAGGAAGGAAGCTGAAAAAAATTCAAATCTGTTAGTGTATGTTCATTCAAACACACAGAAACTGTGATAAATACAGTTACAGTCCATGTTGAGCTTTGAATGAAAATGTTCAGTAGGTCATTTGCAAAATACCTGATTTTTCCATTTAGTGACCAAGCTGCACAGGAAAGAAACAAACAACACATTATACTAAGAGAGAAGAGCACTGCTTTTTACCAAATGTCTTTACATATCATCGATGTTGGAGCAAAGCTGCAGGCTGGAGGGAAAGCCCACAGGGAGAAGCACCTTGAAGGGTGGGTGCCCAACGGGATGCCCTGTGCTTCCCTCATTCCTTGTTGGGCTGTCAGTGAGCTCACAGGTAAGCTGTGTGGGCCACAGTGGTTGAGGTGAGCCCAGGTCACACCTGAGTGAATGCAGGTAGCTCTTCTCTGCTACCTGCAGATAGGGATGATGGGATGACAGCCACCTCAGGGCACTTGCTCTGATCCCTGCCACACCCAAGTCCCCTGGCCATGGCAACAAGACCCCTGGACCCGTCTCCAGCTACACAAATTTAACTGGCACTCTCAGCTCTGTTTCTGCCGAGGTTGGCAGTGAGTGTATGCCTCTCCCTGGAATTCAGACCTCTAGCTGACCACGGCTCCTGCTGGGCTGTGACCGCCCACTTCCCCCACCCCACCCCCTCCACCCCACCCCCTCGTGCCTCCCTTTCCCAAGCAGATGGAGGACAAATCCCAATGCAGCCCAGCCTCTCTCACCTCTCATCTCTAACACCCCGGGTGAAAACAGAACAGACCATTTCCCCGGTATCTAAAAACTGCCAAAAGTTTGTACTCCACATTCCACAAGGCATCATGACTTGCATTTTATTGCATTCTGAAAAACTGTCTAGGAGTTATAAATTACATTTAATGCTCACTGTACACAAAGCTTTCCTCCAGCAGGAAAGTAACGGCAAAGTGCACTTGGGGCTCATTCTCCACTGTCTGCATACTGATAAAGCCGCATTATCACCTTTGTCCATCTTCTGTAGGAACAGAATTGTTACACAGAAGACAAGGTAGACTTGTCAGAAGACAATGAAACCTCCCATATTTCAAGCTATTACTTTTGTACTTGCTTTGCAATTACAATGTAGACATTTTTGTCAAACGTCCTCAGACTCCAGTTTGACAAATGGCATTTTACTCTCTGTGCCTCTATCAGACATTTTTACCATTTCCTTTGTTCTAAAATATGTCCTTCATAAAGGAGAACTCTAACAGAAAAATGTGTTGTGCTAACTAAGAAAGTCTTCAATCCTAAACTACTTGGAACGCATAAGGCTCCACATAAATCTGTCCACCACACTCTTATCCGTAGTAGCTTTGTTACAAATCTTCTAGGTGATTTTATTAAACTTGAAGATCCCAGTGCCCCACCCAGCTACGGCTTTGTAAACTGCTTTCATCTTCCTCTCTCTCTCCCAGCAAAGCAAGTAAACAAAATTATAATTCTAATTATCAAGCATTAGCTGAAAGGAATGTCATTTATTTCGCTCTGAAACCTTGACAGAAGAAAGGCTAAATGTCCTCATTAAGCAAACTTCCTCTTACAAGTCGGTTGAGTAATAGAAAATACAATACAATGCAAAAGTTAAGCTGATGGCTTAAGTTTCTGTGTGATATGATTGTGCCATTCCAAAATCTGAGCAGGATGAATTCCTTCCCTTTCCTTTCTTTTTTGTGATAATGAGTATGAAACCCAGGGGCACACTGCCACCAAAGTATGTCTCTATCACCTTTTATTTTTTATTTTGAGACACGGTCTGGCTAAGTTGCCCAGGTCTTGCTAAATTGCTAAGTGGCCCGGAACATATGATTCTTCTGCCTCAACCTCCAGAGTAGCCGGGGTCACAAGTGTGCACCACCTCAATAGAACCTCTCTTTCTAGTCTCTGTGACAGTTTTAGAACAAGCCTACCACAATAGCCATATGGTAACAGGCTTCTTTCTGCTGTGGCATTATCTGGAATGACTGAGCTTGGGGGAGTCATTAGCCTGTATTTCTGCACCAAGGTGAGCTTCACCAGTTCCTCTTGGTCAATAACGCATTCTTATTCAATGCACATTCTAACCACACCAAAGCAAGAATCCTCTTCACTTGCATGGGCTCTTTAGTTCACAGTATGATTAATATCATGGAAAGATCCACTTACCCAGCAGAAACCCCCTCCTGGGTCTGCTGCTTTAGCTGGCACTTCTGATGAGCAATATTTCATCTCTGTGGTGGCAGTCAGAACTCCATCACAATAGACATGGACGGTGACTGACCCAGCAGGAAAATCTTACAAAACACAAACATGAATTAGGAGATCAGTATGTAATGCACAAACACTAAACAGACAGAACCATGAGATCAGATGTCAACATGGCTTTGTGTTAATTACAGCATTATGAATAAATTTAGGCAGTTTCAATGTCATGACTTAAAATTCATCTCAATTAAAATATACCAAAATTGTTTTCTTAAATTATAATATCTAGACAACATAAATTGATCATAAAAATCTTTATTAATTTTTTTCTTAAAGGAAGTTTGGCATGACATTTGATATGAAGTATTTTTCATGTTCTTTTAAAAAGTATGCATTATCCAGACCAGAGTTTCTTAATTAATAAAGAGATTCTATTTTTGTGGATGCACTATTCAATCCTTTCAGCTTTTAATGAGCTTTTCCCCTGCTGTGTTAAATTTGTCTGGCAGTGCTACAGGTAACAGGAATACCCTCTTCCCTCTGCATAGAAATTAGTTGGTATTTCTAGCTGGGAGCTTCCTTGTATGTTTTCATGGGTTTAGATATAAGCTAGAACCACAGTAGTTTCCAATTGTTGATCGAAAAATCTTGGTTACTTTTCTCTCATTGTTGAAACAAAATACCTGGCCCCCAAAATGAAGGAAGGAAAGGTTTATTTAGCTTACAGTTTTTGGAGGTTTCAGTCCACCCTCAGCTGGCTCCGAAGCAAGGTGGCCTGGCCAGAGGGCAGCTGTGCGTGGCCATGGCAAAAGACAAGAGTGGAAGGGGCAAAAAAGAGAAAAATCACACCACCTTCCCTCCCTTATATAGTATGCCGGTTTCCCATTTCTAGGTGGGTACAGCACTCACACACACACACACACACACACACACACACACATACACACCAGCGCTAGACAAAGAATCAATCACAAATGCTAGACTCAGTTGCCTCCATGATTGCATGGAGTTTGGGGGGCCATCCAAACACAAGCCATAACAAATTGCTTTAACCCAAAGTCCTCGTGGATGGGCGATTGCAAGCATGACTAGTACAATTGTTAACTGTGATGTGTGAACTAGGTTTGAGAAAGAATCACTAGCAGATCGGTAAAGCCCTGGGCAGATGATTGACAGATAGGCCTCAAAATGGAGGGAAGCCCCAACCTGGGTACAGGTGGCATCAACCAATAGGCTTGTAACCAGGATGGAATGCAAAAGGGAAAGAAGTCCACCCATTTTTGAAGAGCTCCAGTCTCTTGAGTGGGGACATCCTTTCCTGCCATTGCGTGTGCACATTAGTCTCTAGGTCTCCAGTTCCTACAGCCTTTCAATGCTGACTCACCCTGGTGGTGATCTAGGGAGATTCCAGGCCTGTTGACCTGGACAGGAACTGTGTCTTGGGTTCCTCTTTTTCTTCAACTTCTAGCTTCTGGGGCTGCACAGTGAGTGGACCTTCTATCTCTCCAGGGTTTGGACAGCCATTGTGCATTGTCCCAGCTCTGATCCCACAAGTGGCCACTGAGAACTCTCTGCCTCTGACCCTGTGAGGCTATCTAATGAGTCCCCTTGCATAATCACACATACGTGTTTTGTAGGTTCTGTTCCTCTAGAGAACCCTAACTAATATAGTCATGGATATCTGTGTACTTCTTGTGCTTAATGTTCTCATTCTTTTTGTATTCCAATCACATGTACATTCTACTTTGTTAAATGGTTGCACATTTCTTTGACATTTTATCCTATTTTTATATTCTGTTTTATTTTGCCTTAAATTTGGAAAAATTGCATTGATTTATCTTTAAGTCTAGTGGCTGTGTTTTCACATGTCCAGTCTGTGAATCAGCCTAATGAAGTTACCTTTCATCCCTGATGCAGTGATTTTGACTTCTGCACCCTTTTTCAGTTCTTAGAATTTCTGTTTACACTGTCCACCTGCTTTTACATGCGGTTGGACTATTTTTTGCACAAGAATCTTTAACATCGTAATCAACATCTGTACTACATCTAAATCTAAACATCCTCTTGCTTTGTTTCTTTAAATTGTTTTATTTTGGTGAGAACTTTTTTTCCATATGTCTTGTAACTTTTGCTTGAAATCCAGACATGTATCAGGCAATAAGAAGCGATGTAGTCTTGTACTGAATCGGTGTATAATAGTCTAGTCAGAAGTCAGGCTGCATTTAATGTTTGTTGCAATTGTAGGCACTACAGTTTCCCTGTTCTCTGCTGTACTGTCTCCTCTCCCTCCAGAGTTTATACAGTCAGCAGCACTCCCGAGGTTTGTGTTCTTGGACAGGTGCAAGCCTTTGTCACTACGTTGAGACAGTGGTGCAGTGGTAGCACGCCGTGGTGGGGATGGGAGGCAGGCATTCTCCAGGCTTTTATCTCCTGGCTGTGACATCCAAAGTGTCTCTGCTGTGATGTAGCCTTCTGCTTCCCCCTTAAGTGGGACCAGAGGAGACTACAGTGTGGTGATGACGCCTTAACTGGGCAGAGCTCTAGTGAGTGTTTTCCCTCAGTCTTTTTTATGAAGAATTTGCTAGAAGGATTTTGCTGCAATCATGCCTCCTCTGATCCAGACATCTCGTTGGAGTCTTCATTTCCAGAAGTGAATCTGGGAGGTAAATCCTGATGAGGTGTGAGGACCTCCTAAAAGTACGTCAGGAGTTTCTTGTGAAATTAATTCATGCATAGCTTCCAGAAATTTAGCAAAATTAATGCTTAATTGCTTCTACCAGTTTAAGGCTCCATGACTTCTACTCCAGGAAAGCAGAGCTGTGCCATGACTCCTATAAACTTGCTTTCTGTCCAGATGTTTGCACAGAGCTTTGCTCTGGTTAGGGGTTCAGATCACAATAATCCAAAAGGCAAAGCCTTTATATGCTTTTCCATTTATGTTTATTTGAACCGTAGGAAGTTGGAAGGGACTCAGAACCAAGGTTGTTCTGGCCTTTTTCCAGAGTGGACAGAGCAGCTGGAACCCGTAAGCCCAGTGCCTGGAGCCCAGTGCCTGGAGAGGCCACACTGTCCCTTCTCCCTGGGTCACTCATTCCAGGGTCTCTCCCTCGTTCCCAAGGGGGGGATGCTGCACAGAGGCCTTCTCAGTCTCGAGTCATGGGATCATGCTTTCATCCAGTCTCAGTTTTGTATGCTGCCCATTCTTCATTGGGCCTAAGAATGAAAATTACTTTCTCTGGGTCTTTGAGTCTTTATTTGAAGATTCCTGTGTCACAAAAACTTTTATTAAATATGCCTGCTTGCTTCTTTCCCTCTGTAACCTTTTCTTTGCTATAGGGGAGTTCGGCACGGCCCTTCTCACAGGTGAGGGGAGATGATGCAACCTCATTTGTCTTATGGGTTCGAGAAAAGTAGTCAACTTTTAGTTTGTTCAGCTTTTTCTTCCGGGAATAAGAGTGACAACTTCTAAGATCTTTGCTTGGTAAGGCTAAAATCATTATCATTGTTTGTAAAACCTTTGCTTCCATTATAGAGCTGTACACGATCAGATTATGATCTAACATGCAGTGCTTACTTTGTAGGGTTTAAAATGTTCCAAACACCAGTACCATAAGACAGAAAAAGTGACGCTCTAATGCCATTTCTCCCGGGGCATTTTCCATCCATAGTCCCACACAGGTTCCTGTAACCTTGTCTTATACTGCTACACAGAAATCAAGATTTTGGGAGGAAATGTCTCATTTACTTAGAAAGCCCAGTGTTGGAAGAACGACTTGTAGAAGCTTAATTAGTACAGCTAGAAACAGTGGTTTATTGATTTTTTAAACTAAAAGTTGTTATTAAACCATATAGACAATGTTGCATCTTGGTACGTCTTGGGAGACGTGGAATATTTCCTGCTTTTCCGCTAAATAATTTGACTTTTGTCATTCATTTTTTATTTTCCTTTTCCTTTAAAAATTTAAATAGATATAATATTTATACTTATGTATCCAGCACAGCATTGTACTTTGATGCATATACACAGTGTGCTCCAGTCACATCAGGGAAGCCACTTCTAGGAAGAACACACTACCATTTCTAGGAGCAATGCTTCTCCTCTAGCTGTTGTGAAAGGTGCAGTTCACCTGAAGAGCTGCCCCGTCATGCTGAGGAACACAACAACTGTTCTTCCCGGTTTAACTGCACTGGTACCGCTTCTCCAGCCTTTACCCCCTGCTCACTCCCTCCCTGGCCCTCGGCCCTCCCTACCCCACTCTTTGCTGCCGTAAAGCTGACTTCTTCAGCTTCTACAAAGGAGTAGGAACACGTGGCTTTCCTTGCTCTGTGCATGGCTGGTGAGCATAATGTATGCTTCTTAGTTCCACTGGTGTGGCTTCAAATGACGTCATCCTTTTGTGGCTGAATAGTCATTCTGCTGTACATACACAGAGGATTAGTCACAATCAAGCACATGCGTGCACACACACACCCACACACACACACACACACACACACACACATGAATGTCTTCTCTTTCTTTGTTCATCCCCTGATGCTCCTGGGCGATTCGCATATGCCTTCGCTGCTGTGAGCGATATGCTCGGGGTGCAGGAGCCTCCTGGACACCATGGCTGTCTCCTTTGGGCGTGTCCATAGTGGTACTACTGTATCATATGATCATCCTGAGCTGACCCTCCTAGCACTAAGATATTAATGCTAAGATTCCTTTCCAGCTTCACACCGTTGTCTCATGCTGGGAGAGAACCTGACCCCCAGCCCGAGGCAGAGAAGTTTTGGCTTTCAGCCCGCTGTACTTATGGGTGGCCTGCAGCCTGGCTCACCACTGCCCAGTGCCTGATGTAGGTTCCGTCTCTTCTACATGGTGAATCTCTTCTGTGGGTTTGAGGCGGGAGGTCAAGTTGCCCTCCCAGTTTGGTCAAGTTATAAATAAAGTCAGTTTTCCTGTTTCTCATTTTTCTGTACCGTGATGATGGGCCAGAAACTGAATCTGGCAGGGCTGGTTACAATTCCGCTGCTGATGCGGGGAGCCTAGGCTGTTTCTGAGGGGCTTTCTGCTCCCTTGATACATTCTCACCAGGAGATGTTACTTTTGTTCTTCTGACTGGGTGAGGTGATATCTCACTGTGGTTTCGACCACATTTCTTGCATTATTAGTTATGTTGAGCACTTTGTCATATAATTATTGGTCATATCTTTTAAGAAATGTGTGTTCAGAGCATTTTCCCGTTGTAGTAGGGTTATTTTGTTGTTGCTCCATTGTCTGGGTTCTTTCTCCCATTCTGCAGCTGTCTCTGCTCGCTAGTGAGTCTCTTCCTTTCTGAGCAGCTTCCTATTTGTCTAGTTTTGCTTTTGGTTCTTATCTAAAAACTCTTCATCTGCCCTGAGGTCCTGAAATATTTCCTCTCTGGTTTCTTCTAGCAGTTTCCTGCTTTCAGCAACATTGACACATTCTGGTCTTTAGTGTACCCATTTGGTAGGCTGAACATAAATGCTTAAATTATATGAATAATTTTACTTGACATTCTGATCTATTGCTTGAGATATATTTAAATACTTCTTAACTTGCAATATGGACTTTTAGGTAGCAATTTATTCTAACAAGGTTTAATTTAAACGCTGACATTAATTAGTTAGAAATTTTTATTTATGAAACTATCTAAGAATGTGATATAAGTAGGGGGTTTGTGACAAGAAAACGCAAGAGGAAAGGGACAACATTCTCTTCCATTTCACCTCTGCACACGCTTGACCCTAACAGAAGGCAGGGACTGAAGTGTTCTAATATCTGCGGACAGAGTCTTCCTTCCTGTAGCCCACCTCCAGGATAACCTGTGCAAGGCGATGCACAGAGCGGCAGGCACTCTGCATAATACAGACACAGGTGAGGAACGTCCTGTAAATGGATTGTGTAATAGCTACATTCTAAGGTGAGGGGGCATGTCAGGATATGTGCTTTATATTCTTCAATTTTAAAGATTTTTACTGCATTTCCAAGTTCATAATAACACTGGGCATCTTTTCATTTTGAGATATTTTGTGAGGCTCACATTCAGGAAATTTCATAAGGTGATATTATTATCTAATTACAAGAGAATATAAAACCACTAGCCTTGCAGTTATATTGAAACTTCAGAAGCTGATACATTATATTTTGTTTTTAATACAATTATTGTGGTAAGTGTGGTTTTTCCTTCTGGAATTTTACATCCAATATATTTCATCAGATCTCGACCCGAGCTGGATCCTCAAGCAATTCCTCCATAAAGGAAGTAAAAGGCTGATGAGCAGATTATCCACAGAGATGGTGCAGGTACCACAATTAGAGAACAGTGAAGAAGAAATATGCTTCCCAAAACCAGCAAAAGTATATTCTGAGAGTTGGGAAGGGGGGAAATAGAAAGCTCATTAGTAAAATCTGAAAATCTGCTAATCCTAATGCTGCAGTAAAAGAAATAATTTTAGTCCATATTTGATAGCTGATGCATATTAAATTGCTCTCCGTGGATATGTTTAAAAGTATATGATATTGGGGCTGGGGATTTAGCTCAGTGGCATAAGCACCTGCCTTGCAAGCAGGCGGTCATGAGTTCGATCCCCAATACCAATAAAAAACAAAACAAAACAAAACAAAACAAAAAATATATATATTACTGGTTCTCATTCACAACATGGCGTGCAGCCTGATTTCTCATAATTTACACATTCTTACTCTTGCAAATTCAGATTAATAATAACAACCCTGGGTATGTGAAAGCTAAACACAGGATGCACCTGCAGGACAGGGTTAGTGTGTAAGGATGTGAAACCGATTATCATAAATTCAATGAAAGGAACTCAGCATGATGTTTGATACTTATTAAAGCACAAAATTCTTACCTGGGGCTTTCATACACCAGACATTCTTGTCCCAAAGGGCCAGCCGGGCTCGAATGCACCTATCATGTGACATAAACTCAGCCTCCACCGTTTCACCAACCACTTCGTCTTTCAGGAAAATGAATATCTCACCAGGATTCTAAAAGGTGAAGATGTGAGCCAGATAAGCACTTGAAACAGTTTGCTTTAACCAGGAATATTGCATTCATGAGTGATAAAGGTCAGACGTTATCACTTGGATGCCTTTTTTCCTGTTGTATTTTCAGTCCTACTCAGAAAGGAAGCACATAAATGTCTCACTACATTTTAAATTTATCAGTCTGGTGTTTATTGATGGATTCCCCTCAACTCCATGCTTGGCAGTGAACAGTGGGGAGAATGGCGCAGGACTTTGGGCTCACCTCTTTCTGTTCACGGTCCTGTGCTGGGTGTCAGCTCTGTCTGTGGACCGGCAGAGGTCTGCCGTGCTCAGGAAGGCTCCCTCTTCAGCTGCCTCGAGCTCGGTTTCCTATCTATCAGTGCGATACCACTCAAGTCTAATGACATTTCTAAATGTCCCAATTTTTTAATATAGTAGAAACACTCTGGTTACTTTTTATTTTTTTATAAGTATCTCTGAATGCTTTTGAAATGACCAAAAATTACAAATTTATAAGATTCAAGATTTAACTAGGTTGGTAAAGCTAAATTTATAGACATAGGTAAGTGTGTTTTTGAAGATTTTTTTTTTTTTGGAAAGACACTACAAATGAGGAGAGCGGAGCTGACGCAGGGAAAAGGGAAGAAGAAACATTTACAGAATGTCTGCACTACACTAGGAATTACAGTAAGCACTTTCTTCACAAAGATTTTTCCTTCCCTCCAAACTGAAACACACGTACTCCTCAAGACACACACGGACAAGACGATCACTTTTTCCTTTTAGCAACAGAGCAATGCTTGCTTTCAATTACAGTCTGAAGATAATTAGAACCACACACTTCCAAATCCATGTTAATCTGTACATCACATTAGCCCTTCAAAAACTAAAAATTTTTTTTCATTATCTGAAGTATCACTTTCAAAGGCTTCCTTCCATGTCCTACTAAATTCAAGTCTCACACGAAATAAACAGGAACTGCATTTGTATCCACTCGTAAAGCCATGTTTATCAAAAGTCAGAATGCTTTTACTTAAATGATGTCTCCTAAGCATAACAACAAACCAATAAAACTTGCATCTTAATGCTTTGCACCAAAGAGTTTCTGCGAATAGGACCAACTAATTCCAGCGGATCCACAAACCTGCTTCAGGCATTTTTTGTAAGCATCATGCTTTCAAATATTTGTCCACAGGATATTTTCGAAGCCCATCCACCCACCTTGTTAAACTAAAGTAGAGAAAACATCCTATCTTTAAAGAGCTCCCTGGACTCTGTCATTCTGACCTTCCGCAAGGAGCGAGCAGCAGGTGGGAGCCTGCCCTTCCCGGGGGTCTTCAGTGTCTTCTGCTCCTCTTGTCTGTCACCCAACCTTGAATCTTTAACGCTGCTCACTTTGGCTCATTCCTCAAGAGCCGCTGCTTCCCGGTTCTTTTCCATGCACAAGCCACTGCAGGCTGGACTTTGACTTTGCTCTTTCCGAAGCTGGCCAGCGCACATGTCCTCTGTGAATGTTTGTTCATGTTGCCAACTCATTCTCATTCATGAGAGCTCTCACAACTTCTTTGCATGCATCAGCTTCCTTTCTTAATATAGGGCAGGATGCCACCTTTCAATCGCTTCCAGAGAAAAATTGTAAACAAGAGACAAGCATCCTGACCTCCACAAATGAGGCATAGACCTCCTCATTTGTACTCAGGGCTGGCTTCCTGGGCTGCAACTTGTGTCCTCACACAGGGTCTCTTGCTCTTGGCTTAATGCTCACCTGTCACTGCCTTGAAATGCTTAATAATTTGAACAAAGGGCCTTGAGTTTTCATTTTGCACTGCAAATTAGCTAGCTACCTGGTTGTGCATGGTGCGGCCCTGCTATTCAGCTGCTTTTCTCATTCTCTCTGTCGCCTTTGGCTCCCATGAGGCCCAACTCAGATTTCACCAGCTCTATCAAATCGTGCTGGAACCTCAGTGCTCAAGGATTTTGGAATTCCAAGGGGATTCTAGAGCAATTCATATGCACACCACTCAGTCCAGCCCTGCTTGGTTAAACCCTCTCCTCTTTCTAGTTCTTTGCATTTGTGGTCTTGGGTTCGCAGCTAGATTTTACACATCATCAGGGAACTTTTATTTCCTCACTTCGTGTCTTGTAAAAGTTACGTGCTTATGAGATCTTCTGTGTCTGTAAATTTTAAATGTGACATTTTCACATGGACCATGATCCGCTTCATCTGCCCACTGCATCCCCCAGTTCGGCAGCCACCTCAAAGGGAACCCTCATCCTGTGGGTGAATTCAGCTCACTGGAGCAAGTGCCAAGAGGCAGGGTGTTGTCAGAAATGAGGCTGCTGCCTCTCAGTATTTCGATGCCTCTGTGTGAGCCTTTTCTGGCTGGAGAAATCAGAGACTGGGTTATGATAATGATCACCACAAAACACTGATGCTTTGCTGCGTTGGTCACAAGTCTTGAGGCCTAAAGAACTGAACTGAAAGTTGGTGAGCAGTGGAACGGGTCAGCAGTGAAGTCTCTGGTCCTGCCAGTGCAGTGTCTTCATCTTAAATGATTCAGTAAGCAGAGGTGGGGGAGACTTTGATCACAGTGACCTCAGGAGCTTGTCATGGGCTTGATTGGAGACCAACAGCTCCTTCTATGCAGCACATCCTGGCCTTGGAACCAGGGCTATGTGGATCTCTGGTTGGCATCAATCTTGACCAGGGCAACAGAGGAAGAATTTGTGACAATGAGCCCTGATTTGGCTACTAATTCTCACTTTCAGAGTCACCTGGAGAGCTTTGAAAAATCTATGCCTAGGATATAACAAGCCATTTATTTGTGTATCTAAAAGTAAGAATTTTTTTTTAAAAAATCTCCTCACAGTCTCTAATGGTCCTTAGTAATTTGTCAAAGGAGAAAGACGTTTGTAGCTGCTCTATATCTCACCTCTGGAAGGACAGCACTTCAGAGAACAGACATTAGGCCTTGGTGCCACAACCATCTTTTACTCTAGGTATTGAGCTTTTAAAATTAATTTAGGCTTTGGTCACAAAGAACTGACTTGTGATTTGGCATCAGTAGTAAGTGGGCAGTGCAGGTCTTTCCTGTTTACTGTGGTAAATTAAATTCAGGGCCCCTGTAAGGGGTAACCTCTGTGTCCTTCCTTGATTTCCAGGGTCTCCCCATTTGCTGATTCCGTAGTTGGTGGTTGGTCCTGCAGGTCTGGAGATTTAGGATCCTTTCAGACCCAACGTGTGTGAGTGAGCAGGTAGCAAAATTCGGGCCTTTATTAGGGAGTTTTCTGTGTTGTAGGATTCAACTAGGGGACTTCAGAATGAAATTTATACTGATCCAATGCTAATAAAGTCACTTATGTGGTCTTCAGGGTTGTACTGTAACTTTAAGAATTGAATTTGATTAAGAAATCAATGTGTGAACTGGCTTTAAAGGTATTTCAGTCTCATCCTCAGGACATCAGGGTAGCTGCAGGGGGAGAATGAAAAGAAGAAGGACAGAGGGCTGAATTATACGGAAAGAAGGGAGAGATCTGGGGGCAGAAAAGCTGAGACCCAGCAGGCAGTTTCTTCCAGCTGGAAAGGGAGAGGGCACATGAGAGAGGCACCTGCCAGGACTGAGGGGGGCGGAGGAGATGTGCTCACTTGGTGACGGGGCGGGGCCGCTGCAGGGGTCACACTGTGCCATCACCCGGGCTGTGACAGCTCATGGAAGGTGGGGAGGTGAGGCTCGGGCACTTTGGGAGGGGCTTCTGTGGGGAGCACGCTTGAAGGGGCCCTCTCAAGGCTTTGGATAAAATTTATAAAGGGAGCGACTGAACCAGGCACAGAGGTATGCATCTGGCATCCTGGCACTGTGGTAAGTTGAGGCAAGAGGGTGCCAAATTTCAGTCCAGCTTGGGTAACTTACCAACTCAGTGAGACTTTGTCTCGAAAAGTCAAAAAGGCTGGGAATGTTCCTCAGGGTGAAGGCCTTGGGTTCAATGCCCAGTACAACAATAGCAATAATAATCACAAAAGTAAAAAGGAATGCCAGGAAGTGCCCCTTCAAGATTAAGTGGCTCCGCTGAGTGACGATAGGACAGCTGGACACCTTGCGGAAAAACGTGGAGAGAGGCCCTGAACTCCTGATGGGCCCGTGCAGCAGGTCAGGGTGACCTGAGTGGCACCATGCCTTTGCTCTGGGGCAGAGTAGAGCCTCAGATTCCTGGTGAGCAGTGACCTGGCCACAGCCCCTGTCCTGGGCATTGCAGGTACCATTTCCGATCCTAGGCTCCTATCCACCAGATGCAGTGACATCTACCATCTCTGACAGCTGCAGATGCCTGGGGAGTCACCCAAGTCCCCTCTGTAGAAAGATGGAATCCCCTACCCCATGCATACACCCTGAGCTGGGCACAAATGGCCTTTTTTGTGGTACCCGGCAGCCGTCACAAGGACTGGGGTTGTGGTGAGATTATTGGACAGAAAATGCAGACTTGTGCAGGAATGATTGTTGGTTTTGGTCTAAAGGATTAGCTGATTTTGATTTCTTAGGGAATGGGGCTAGTATTAAAATGATTTTACAGGGCCTTCTGTTAGAATATTTTAAAGAGTGAGATTCCCAAGAGGAATGTGATATTGAAATCATTTAACCTCAGACTAGCTGAAAAACTTCCATTAATGTCAATGGGAAAAGATCCACGGCTGAGCTATTGAAAGACCCTCTATCCTAACTGCTACCTGCACAGCGTAGCCTCTCCTAGAGAAAATGAAACTTAATTCCGGAATTTGATTTCTTTGCAACTTTAACAATGGGTAGTTTTTACAGTGCTCAAATTTTAATGCTGCAGATACTTTTTAAAGCATCTGTTGAGACTCACTGTGTAACTCTGGTGAGCTATTTTTAGCTTCAGAATTTTCTTGGGGGATGGGAGTTTCGTCTGTTTGGGAGCAGCTCACATTTCCCTTTTTGCTCCCCTTCTTCCTATGTCTCCCATTATTTCCGACTCAGTAGGAGCTCTATCTCCCGAGTCTCTTAAATGTGTTGTGATTTTCTTTGCTTGAGCATTTGTCAGCTCCCACAAACCTGCAAGTGTGAGTTCCTGGGGCTGCTCAGATAGCATCGAAGTAGTTTGTCTGGAATGGATTGCACAATAGGTTAAAACAGAGATTTTCCTGCTCAGGCATAATGTGTCAGAGGAAAGAAAGGAAAGAACCAAACCTCCTCAGCTCTGGAAAGCACTGAGCTCCCCACACCACAGGATCGGGGACCAGAAGCCATCAGTGGGCCTCAGCCTTCAGGGAGTGCAGACTTACAGGCTGCCGGCAGACGGACCCTTTGGCATCCCTGACTGTTTCTCCTGCGTCTTTGGCTTTTTCTTCTCAAGGCTACCAAGACATCAAGACCCCACTTTTAACTGGCAGATTACCTCACTAGGGAGCCAGGCCAGACTCTAACCAGGGCTCATTCTGGTGGCTTATTCTCAGGAAGATTTGGCAGGAAGACCTGTCAGGAATATGTTCCCATGTGGTCATCTTAGAAATCCTTCCCCAGTGTAATACGACTATTCCCTAAAGGACCAACTTTCCCAGAATTTATGATATTTCCACTTAATGTCAACTGATTTAATTAGTTTTCTCATTGCTGAGGTGAAATACCTAGCAACCAAAGTTAAAGGTTTATTTCAATTTGCAGTTTGTAGAGGTTTCAATCTATAGTTGGCTAGCTCCAAGGTGGGGCGCCATGGCAGAGGGGCACTGCAGAGGAGCAACAGTCCATGGCAGGGCAGGCAGCAGGCAGCAGGCAGCCCGGTTTGTTTATACAGGCTTCAAGCCTGTTGATTGGAGCTTCCCATTATCCACACTGAGACTTATGCTAATACAATCAGTGAACTAATTTAGTACCACACACTTTAATCCTAGTATCAAATGCCCTAGATCCAGGTAGCTCTGAAAAGTTCCATCTATGAGTACCTGAGAATTTGGCAGGGGGACGTCCAGATACAAGCCACAACATTAGCCTTTAAAATATGTTTGTGATTGAAAGACTGATTGAACTAAAAATTAAAACAATTTAAATTTATTCAAGGATCTATTTCCCTTTAAGAAAATAAGGTTGTTTAAACTGCTTAATATGAATCTAGCTGTCTTGTAAATATCTCGATCTGTAGATACATAGATCTGTATAGATAGTGATTATACATCTGTTTACAAAATGTCAGGTAACATTAAGCTTTTGTACATTTCCTAATATCCAGTTAGTCAACAAATATTTATGAAATACCAACTAATTGCCAGATACTGTACTAGGTCACAACACCATAGCATGAATGAAGTACACTAGGATGCCACATATTTTATAGCTTATAGTTTGGTGAAATGCAGTGTCTACTAAATTAACAACAGGGCCACTGATGTAACAAGACAGTAGACAGCATTACCGACCTCACACGGAACTTCAGCAGGGAGCACCGTGGCCAGGGCTGCAGCACTACCACAGGGTCCTGACGAGGCTTCGGTTTCATTTCTCTCACTTGTTTTCTCGGGACTGTTCACTCTTTGGTCTGCAGAAACGCTGACCTCAAGGTAGGTTTCAGAATCTAGAAGACATTTGGTGAATACAGATTGCAATACATTATTTCCACCACTAATCTAAAGACTAACTGCTGACCAGAAAGTTTTATAAACAGAAAGATGACCAGACAGACCTTAACACATCTGTAACAATTAAGATAGCTGTAATAAGCATATGTTAATAGCTAAGATGCTGTCTCTTAATCTCACTAGCATTATAACCTTTATGACTAAAGTACCTCAGCTGTTATATGTCTAGCTATTATCAAGTATTTTAAGATAATTCCGATCACCACTTATATTTTGTTCTTAAAATTTTTTTCATTAGTACGTGTTTGCCATACAAAATGATCATATTCATCATGGAGAACTTGTACCTGTACATAATATATCTTAATTCTCTTTTCCATTCCCCTCCCCTTCCTTCCTTCAACCTCTCTTTCCCTCTATTTGCAAAACTTTGTTTCCATTCTTTCCTTCCACTTCCTTTTGCTAATCTCTTTTCCCTGTCCTCCCTTGCTCCTCCTCCACCTCATTCCCCTTCCCATTTGAGCAAGTTCTTCCTACTTTCCCAAATCTGTCCTCTACTTTGCTCCTTACTTACCAGCATCGTATCACGTGATCTACGCATATCCATGTTTATAGCAGTGCAGTTTAAAATAGCTAAGCCTATTAGCTGTTAGCTACTGGAAAAAGCCTGGATGCCCGTCAACAGATGAACACATGAACATGTGTTCCTCGCACACAGTGGAGTACAGTTTTGTCATCTTCAAAAGGATAAACCTGAGACATTTTTAGGTAAAAGGATGCATGTCAACAGCATAATTTTAAATGAAGTAAGTCAGACACGTAAGTTTAAATACTGCATTGTTTCTCTTGTGTGACAAATCCCAAGGATAGATAAGGAGTAAAATGAAGGATAGATATTGGGACGCAAAAAGAATTTGTATATTTTCTTTTAATATTGAAATAATCTGCAACACATTAGGCTACTTTTCTCTATGATAGCCATAAATAAAAGCTATCCTACATTTTACTTTTTAGCTTCTTTTTTGTTAGTATGTGTGTGTGATATACAGTAGTTGCCTTTGCCTCAGGGAGTCGGCATGTAGACGGATCGCCTCTTGGTCACTCTTGGTCACTCTCACTTCCCTCTAAGCCCTCCCTCACCTCCCCATCCCAGATCTCCTTTCTAAGTGAGAAAAGTTTGCCTAAGGATTATGATTGCATTTCACATATACTTCTAAGTTTTGTAAGAATAACTATGGAACAAAGTAGTATCTCTATGAAATACTAGTTCAATAGCAAAAGTATTAGTTTAATATTAGTTTACTAACTTCTAGGTAGAGTCACTGATATCCCATCACTATACAGAATAATAAAATATCCCTGACACTACACAGCAAGAGAACTGTAGTGATTTCATGTTTGCTTGAATGCTTCCTCAACTCAGGTAACACCAGCCTAAATCCTATCGTCTTTCTAAAGCTCCTTTACTCAGATACCCCATGGTTCTCCTGATGTTTGTATTCACAAGCAGAAACCCAGGTGGCTCAGGTGCAGGTCTGTCCCCAGCAGCCTTTGGCTGAAGGGCACTGAAAGGACAAGAGAAAGAAGAGCCCAGACGATGCAGCCAGAGAGCTGGAACATGGGTATCCTTACACCTAGATGAGGGGTGGCACTCATCTCCGTGGGTCAGAGAAGCAGAATGAGGGCAGGTATGGCAGGGGAAGAGCCCTTCCTGGCACGCATGGTGCCCTAGGCTCTCATCCCAGCACTAGAAAAACAAAACAACATAGACAAAGCAGCCACAGAGGGCAAGAGGAGATGAATGCTCACAAGGCCTGCCCACAGGCCAGTTGCTTCTAAAGAGAGGTCTGTCGTTGGTGACGGTGGGTTTTGTTTTTGTTTTTTTGCTTAGTTTCTGTCTTATGAAATGTGCAAAGTTAAAGCACAAAACACCTATGATTCCCAGATTTCTGAGTTTCGAAAGAGATGAGAATCAGCCTTTATTTCTCTGTGAATTTAAAGCAGTTTGATGAGCAGTCTCTTGTCTCTGTCTCTGTTTCTGTTTCTTTCTCTGTCTCTTCACCTTACATGCACAAAAAAGTGAGTGACTGCATATTATTAGTTCAACCTCTTTGCGGATTGATAAAGAACAAGGAAATTGATTTTATTTAATATACTTTTGTTGGAGATCACTATGAATCACCTCTGAGCAGGATTTAAAATTAACTAATTGGCTTTCTATGTTTATCTGTGAGTCTGTCCTAGGCCTTGGCCCCTTTCCTGGTGAAGGCAGCTGATTCATAGTAAGTGAACCTCTATGAATCACTGGTCCTGGCTGAGGTCTGTAGTGACCTATGATGCCAGAGATACCTCAAAGGGCAAGATAAGGCCACAGCTGAGGACACCTGGCTCAAACATCAATTAAGTAGATAGAGACTACAGCTGCAGGCATCTCACTTCTGCAGCCTCACTCCTACCATAAACATCATGGAGACAAGATGGTTCTCCTAAATTGGCGAAATTTACTACCTGGAGAAGTCTTTGAAGGGACTCCCACGGTCCTGCTCATTTCCCACATTTTCCTCAGTTTCCTCGCTCTTTGTTTGGACCCAGTAAATACGGGTGGTCCAGAGACGTCTTTGTCTTAGTCTTCACAACCTTGAACTTGGCTAAAGGGTTTTGACCCTCCTGGAGCCCCCAAATGATACCACTTGTCTCATTTATTTAAGCCTTCACTGTACACTCATTTGGGAGATTGGGGGTATAGATCAGCACCTGATATGCTTTGAAGCAAAGAGGGTTCAGTAATTCTCCCATGGCACTATCTAAGGTTTTCTGCTAATTCTTCTGCAATGTAGGTTAGGAAGAGCTGCTCCTCTCCCGCTGGGGACATAATTATGAATGCATGCAAAGGTTTATTTCTATGAAAGTGCAGAAAAACACTGTTTATAATTCAGAAAATTAGAAGCAATCTAAGCAATAATGGAAGTATGATAAAAGATGTCAATAATAAAAATTCCATCACAGATTATTTAACAAGTTTATAACACAGCTGAATGATAACCAAGTTACAAAATTATCAGTTTAATAGGTCCCTGTTTCAATATAAACATGCGTATATAGAACTATTTGGAAGAAATTAAAGACATATTCTTAAATGAGAATAGATCAGTCATGTGTATACCCAAAATACCAAGAGTGATTATTTTTAGTAGATGGATTATGGGTAATTTTATCATATGTGCATATGAAATATCAATAATATCTAATCCTGTGGTACATGTGATTTATGTATCCTTATTTTTCTAAAAAGAAACTGTATTTTACAGAGAAAACTATGTTTACTTACTTGAAGGAGAGGAATGAATTGATTAATAGTGAAGATTAAACCCAGCTATCTATTCCCTTCTACCACATGTAATTGGCACCCATAACACAGGCCATGAACTAAGAGAATCAGTAACCACACTGCCACAAAGTAGCCTCTGGGACAACAATTTAAGCAATCCTAAAGGGTGATATCTGAAATAAAGGCAATGCTTATCTTTTAAACTGCATATACTATTAGGGAAAAAATTACCTAAAGGCAAGATAGTTTTATATCATTTTCCCTAACCAACATAATTATATTGTAAACTTAATAAAATAGCAAAACATAAAATAGTAAAGTGCTAGAAAATGAATTTTCTTTTATGAATTAAAGAAAACTGTTTTTTTTTAATTTTTGAAGCTTTGCTTTTGCCTCCAAACAGAAATGTTTTAATATTATTTTTCCCAAAGTATAATTTTCAGTTTAACTTTTTATGTTTTGTGCTTAATTCTTTACCAATTCATGAATTCTGTATTGAAATAAAGACAGATACTTCTGATAACTGGCAAAAATTGAGTGAATATTCGGAAAACTATAATCTACTTAATCATATTTGAGCTCTCTTACCATGGTGATTCATGTGAAAACAGAAGTTATTCTCCAATGTCTCATCAGTTAAAAACTGAGAATAGTTAATAGGAAAACAAACAAACAAACAAACAAACAAAATCCTCAATCTTCTTTATGAAAGATTTTGGAAGAGGAAATAAAACAGAAGCAGCACCTTAACTAGAGAAATATGCCTACTGCTGGAGAAGAAACCACCTATTTTTATGTGATGTTGGGAAAATACCAGGCAGAATGAGCCTCAGTTCCCGCAGTCCTCCTGTGCACCAGATAGTGTTGCCTCTGTTGAATTGTTCTGGTTACAGATGGTCCCCAACTCATGATTGTTTTATTTAGAATTGTTAACTTTATATAATGGTATAAAAATGAAGTATATTCCATAGAAACCGTACTTTGAATTTTTAGATTTTTCCTGGGTTAGCCTTACTCCGTGGAATGCTCCCTCCAGCCAAAGATCAACTAACAAGTACTAAGTGGGATGGGCTGTGTGGTCAGTGCATTTTGTACAAAATGTCTTCATCATGCTATGAGAAAAGAGGCTTTGCAATAAGCTCATTTGTAGCTGATCCTAGGGCTCTGATTGCCGTCAGGGTAGACTAGGCTATGGGTTCAGTAGGTCGAGTATACTAAGTGCATTGTCAATTTAGGATGTTTTCAACTCATGTGTCTGTGAGAATGTAAACCCATCCCAAGCCAAGGAACAATCCATTATGGAAATTATATATTTTATGTGCAGATCTAGGGTAGACACTCAGTGTTAGCTCTAAGGAAATACATCTGCACTTCAGTCAGGATAGCCCTAAAAACAGGAACTGAAAAAATAAAGGAAGTCAGTATAGCTTAGCAAGTTCTAAGCACGTCCCTGCCAACGTAATTTTACTTTTAGCTTTTCTGGTGAGCTGCTAAAGTGGCACAGTATTGGCAGTACCCATGCTCTCGGTGGCCAGGATCTCTTGAAGCTAGATACATGCACGCGAAGCACTGAGCTAAAGGAATCAAAAAGCCAGTTAGTGAAGCAAGCCTGATTAGTTTGGGCTAAGTAGTTTAGCTTAATTCCTCTGAGGAAGGTCAACACACATC